CTACCTCACCTGGCTACTAGTTCTATTAATTTTGAGAAACAGTCTTATGAATAATATTTAGAGTTTAGAACATTAATAGCTCACAGAAAATACATTGGTGAGCTGTTAAGGTCACTCAAAATTTATGAACTGTGATGCTTTTCTTCACATACAAACAGCAGAGCATTTGAAAATTTAATTTGCAATATAAATGGTGATATTGCTTATTCAGCATGGTAACTTGTACAGGTCCACCTTCCAACATGATTCAAGTATTGAAAGATTAGGAAAGAAAAACCTAGAAACCATTATGGACTTGCTCTAACCACATTTGGCTCAGGTCAGTCGTGCAAATGAAGAACACACTGCCTCTGGTGGAAATAATGAGTAGCAGAGAAGAAATCGTCAAAGAATCCTGACTTTCCCCACCTAGTTTAGCCTGCTACAAAGCAAACGCAGACTCCAATGGACGATCTAAGAAAGATGGAAAGATGTTACCTACCCAAAAGCACTCCTCATTGTTTTACCAAGATATCTAACTCTCTCAGCTTTAATATCTCCTCTTAGAAATAAACTTGTGCTCTACTGGACTAAACAACATAAAACATTGAAAGACAAAATACAATTAGAAGAGGTTAGATTAGATGTATAAATTAGTCCACAGAGCACTAGCTACCACTTAAATAGCATTTTGGCCATAGAGACTGTTACTAAGAGCATTTGATTCAAAGTTTTGCATAAAAGCAAACTCTTATTCTTGGTGGAAAGGAAGAACCAGACAAAACATTTTATTTTATATCTAGATATATTGGTTGTCACTGTAGAAATGACTTTAGAGATAGCTATTAAGCTTCATTGCATTTCTTAATGTCCCTTTGGTTCTATCATAAATTGAGATCATGACATTATGAGAGTATTTATAGAGTTAATAATTTCCAGCTCTCATCTGGGTCCCTCTTTCTTTAGATTTCCTGCCTAGTACATAGAAGAGGCCCATTTGGAATTTGAGAAAACATCCAGAGACTTCTTCAAAAAGCTATACTCCTCCTAAATTCATACTTTTTTTTTATTAACAGATGTAAATTTGAAGGGGAAATACCATATACTATAAGCCATTTGGGAATATTCTGTCTCCTAAGGATGACTTACACTTTTCATTTGAATGGCACGGATGCTGAGAGCTTAAACTCAAAACTCATCCGTACTCTAGCTCTGAATCATTCTTTCCATGAACTCTGCATGCATTTTTATGATAAACACACACATGTGTATGCATATGTGACCTCATTGCCAGTTATCTGCAGTGTCAAGTACTACTGGCAGATACCCAAGAATTGATTGACACACATCTTATAGAACTGGAGTTAATTAATATGTCTATCAATTCCCAACTGCACTACAGGAAACAGAAAATCTGTTTAATACAGCAATCAATGACATACTGTGTGTGGTCAGAATGCGTTCACTATACAGCAAGAGTAGATTTTGGAATACAGTGTTCAGCAGTATAAATATTTCTATTAAAATGCTAGGAGAGTAAAATAAGGTCTATGTTCATAAGTAGAAGACTAAACAAGGAAGTTTTTTGCACACTGTTTATCGTTATTTAAAAGGAACTGTTAATTTTCTCCTACAAGTTCTGAAGCTATTAAACAGTGAAGGGGGTCTTGATTTGATTCAAAAGTAATGTCTTTACTTCTGTGGCATTCGGCCATCTGGAATGGTAAGTCCATAATGTCATTTTCTAACAATGGGTTTTAACAATCTTGGGAACTCAATCTAAGACAATGAGTTATTTTAAAGAAAGAACTCTCTGCAAGGAAAAAATTGAATGTTAAAATGTCCATGACAGCCACGATAAAAACAAAAAGCAAAACGTCTTTTTTTGTACAATAAAATTATTTGTAATATGTAAAGTCTGAACAGAAGTTTAAAAAGGAAACTATTTCATTATTTTATGTAGAGTGGGGCAGGTAACAGCAAAGGGTACGTGCTACTTCTACACTAGAATACAGGAGAAAGATGTGTCCTAGTTCTATCTGAAAAGCCATCCTTGTATATAAAAGTTACTAAATTCAAACTTCAAGAGAGCTTATGAACCGTAATCCAACAATCCTGCCTCAGTCCTAATTGCTATTTTATTTCTTACTCTTTTAATCTTTCCATTACTACCATTCTTTTCCGAACCACATGAAGCACACATTCTCTCTTTCTTAACTTCACAAACAGCGTAACTGTTTAAATCCAAGGGTAGTATTTTAAGTACCAGTATAGATCAATTTAAAGCAGATTCTCTTAAGGCAGCTTAAGTACTGAAAATTAAATTTTATGTTGTCTAGACAAACTATCTTGATAATATCTTTTCCAGAATTTCCTAGATTGACTGTCTAGACTGCTCCAAATTCCCCCAGGTAATTGCATAATCATCTTCCCTCTGACCTCCTAAATAGTCTGGAACAGTATTTCCCAATATATAGTTGCCATGCAAATCAAGATCACTGAGCTTCTGAAAGAGGACTCTCTCAAAGGTTCTGAGTTTCAGAATCAGGAAAATACTTGCAGCCCAATATCCCACCTCACAGGAGATGAAACGAGAAGCTTTACTGATTTCAGTGGAAAAAATGGCTCCTCCATTTTCCTGGGTAAATGGCCTGGCTCCAGAACCTGTACCTCTCCATCAGGTACTCAGCAATGAGTAGTTGATGAGTTGATAAGGAAATACGCTGTGAACTTTACTAAATAGCAACTAAGAAAAAATTCAACATTTTGGGGGAAAATGATAAAAATATGGGAACTACCTATTAGGCAACGTTAAACTCTCACAACTACCACATGAGGTAGAGACCATTCTCATTACTACTTTTTAGATTAGAAACAGTGACACAAAGAAAATAAGTAGCTTGCTACAGATCAAGCATCTAGTACGGAGCTGAAGTCAGACAAAAGCCCAGCGGTCTGAGGCCACAGGACATGTGTTTAACAGTGATAGGATTAGAACTCCTTGAGTTTCTATAGCAAACAATGTCAGTGGGTCACGCCCTGTTAGGAGGTTTGGAAAACAGTTGGAGGGAATAAGTCAACCTCTCATTTAAAATATACGAACACTGAGGATCAAAGAGGTTTTGCTTAGTTTTGCTTCACATACACTGAGGCAGAGTCTCAGCGAGGTTGACTAATTTTTCCAACGCTCCACAACTTGTAAGTTGCAGAAGAAGCTCAGAAGCCAGATGTGACTCCAAAGTGCACGTCCTTCCCACCAACCTGTGCTAGGAGCTCAGCTCACCTGACTCCGCTGCCCTGTGCAGCATGATGCCTGGCAGATGGAAAAAGTACAACATGATGTGGAAAGAGTTTTCTAGAGCTATCTTCAGAATACACAAAAGTGTGACAATCACTCCAGGCCCAAGTTTTAGGGTGCTTGAGTATAGGAAACAGCTGAGAAGAGAGCAAAAAGGGAGAAACTTATCCAAAAGGTGCTAAAAAGTTAAGTGTACAAAACCTCCAGGACCACGTGCAGGGAATTATTCCTAATTTCATCAGTATGAAACAAGTAATTCAAGTAGAACTGCCTTTCCTTAATGTTAGTTTTTACTTAAAACTCTTGGGTATGTCAGCAAGTGCAGTATAGGTGCTCATAAGGGGGAGGAGGAGGAAGGATGCGGTGGAGGAAGAGGCTGGTGATGGGCAAATGCCTAAACTGGTGAGACCTTGGTAAAGTGTTTTACTCTTCCCAGGATCATCAAAAAAGTAATAATAATTGTGTTTAGTCTAGAAACCACATATTCTCTCAGATACCTTCTTACAGAAAGAAGGTACAACCCAAACTCTTTTGATTTCTAAGTCTTTGGATTAAAATAACATATTTTAATCAATTTAGGACGCCTTAAGAAAATTTAGAGAGAGAATCTAGAGTTTAAGTTATAAAGAAGTGGCTAACGTAAATTATACTTTACGTTTAGGACTCCAGAAACATTCTGGAAACAAATCCGTTATCTGTTGAGTATCTCTGAATTCCAATTTGGAACAAAATTCTGTCACAAATTACCTTCTCACCACATGAACGCTTTTGTTCTTCTTAGGATTTTGTGCCAAAAATTATAGAATGGGTTATAATTGAAGGTTATCGGTAAGCCCAATTCATGGAACTGCTTTCAATACCAGTAACTTTTCTTTTAAATATTTCCCTAATTTCAAGTTTTACTTAAATTTACCTAGCTTTATTTATTTATTTATTTTAAAGATTTTATTTATTTATTTTTCCCCCCCAAAGCCCCAGTAGATAGTTGTATGTCATAGCCGCACATCCTTCTAGTTGCTGTATGTGGGACACGGCCTCAGCATGGCCGGAGAAGCGGTGCGTCGGTGCGCACCCGGGCCAGGCCGCCAGCAGCGGAGCGCACGCACTTAACCGCTAAGCCACGGGGCCGGCCCAAATTTACCTAACTTTAACTTCCTTAATAAAATATCTTTTAGGAGCAATAGACAAATTAAAGAAACATCATTTTTTCCACACTGCCAAAATAATAGCCAAAAATATAAAAGCAAAGCTTAGCTGAGCAAGAACACCAATGTGAATAATTTAGGTCAAACATGAGATCAGATCATTGTGCACATGTATGGCATCCTTTCTTAATGCCTAGCCAGAAGAAAACAACTGGGGTGGCAGACACTTCTGGCTGAGGATGGAAACGGAGGAGAAAGCTGGCAATATACAAATGAGGGAGAAAACAGTACACATTCTGCCTGCTGACATCTGCCGCACGTGCAGAGTGGGTTGGACTCTGTCATCCAGGGAGAAAGCAAATGCTCTCTTCCTTCCTTCCTCCTGTTCCACAGCTATTGTTGAGTGATGGTCTCACTCTTTTTGCATTCACAGATTAAAATTAATAACAGCATCTGAATTTGAAGTAGGTGCCACTGAATAGCGAACCAGAAGCTAAATGAGCTGAAGAAATAAGTAATGAAGCATTTGAATAGTAAGGGGTCACAGACAAACACCATTTTTTAAAAGTCAGCTTTACCTCAGGATGATGTCCAATTTCAATGTAGGTGCAAATTGGATGAAAAGCCCCTGTTCCACAGGCGTACAAGTGAGTCTGATTATAAGCCTTAAGCACCTTGATGAAATTAGCACATTCTTTCTGCAAGACAAAAGGAAAACCAGTGAGTTCTAGCACTCAGCATGACTGAGGTATCCTCTAAGGTGCTAGGCATGCTTGAACAGATTTCTTTTCTTTTCTGTCCTTTTCACAATATTTTTAGGCCCTATTATTCTATTGTTTGCTCATATTATTACATGAACTAAAATTATAAAAGTTCTTACTCTTTGAGAGTCTAAATATAATATTCTCTTCCATAACTTTTTCATTAAAGCTATTTGTAATTTATTTATATGAAAGTGGAATAAGGTTATAGATAACCAATAATCACAGGTGACTTTTCTGGGAAATACGGGAACAGCAAATTATATGATTAAATAATGAATTACTTAAATAATACAATGGTGAAAATTTCTTTGCAAAAATCAGCTTTGAGTTTAATTTTAGAAAAATAAAACAAAAATAAGAGATAATACAACCTTCTATTAAACATGAATTTTAAACATCATTAGTAACCCATAATGATGGGTGATTGACTCTGAACTTCTGTAGTGCTGCTTTCTAGTGAGCTCCATAGACCGTAAGAAGGTAAAGCTTCTTTTTGTCACTTCAGCCTCAAAGATAATTTGGGTATATTTAAGATAGAGAGAAGATGTTAAAGTCTGGAATGTCTGTAGTCTTAAGGATCTTTTTAGAGTGGCTATAATCGATAAATATTTTCAGGAGATTCATGTACGTCCTGAACCCACACATGGACCCCCTGCCCAATGAGCCATGGATCCCCCACATAAAGAACAATTAGTTATAGGAGGAAATTCTAGTCATATCTTATTATTATTTAAAGAAGCTTAGACATTCCTGCCATTTTATTTTCTGAATAAAATATCACCAAAGAAATAAAATGGACAGAGCTCTTTATATTCTTTTTACATATTCTATTATATCTGTAGATCTTGTGAAAGAAAGTGGTTTTCTATGAACAAACAGGAATCTTAGGCTTTTGTCCCTGTTGAGGAAAGATTTTGGGGAAAAAGTCAGGTATTCAGAATAGAAACAATTCTATTGCCAAAATAATCCAGAGCAGGAAACACTCATTTATTGCAAAATATTTTTAAATAGATGAATCTATATCAATATTGTAAAAAGAAAACAAAAATGAAAAGAAAAATTCAAACTATCAAAATAGCTTCAAATAAAATGTTATGGTCTATTAATCATATAACAAATCTTAAAAATTGAATACAGATAAGGAGAAAATATGAATTCATCTTAGAATACTTAATATCCATATTGAAAATATCCAAATGGGTATTTACATGCTAAATAATAAAAACTTCATTGAAAATTATCTTGTTATTGATCACAGACTTTTTTAACTCATTTTGTGTTTTTGCCTATAAACATTTGGAAATAAGATAAAATATATAACTAGAAATGCAGAAAAAGATCAAAAGCAGACCATAATGCAAGTGAGGATGGCAAACATAATAGAGGATTGAGTTGGTCCTGGCACCTCTAAGTGTGTAACACTCCCAAAGTCACTGTCTATGACATGTGACTTTTCAAGTGAAAGCTCAGAATGCATCTGGACTTAATGTAGTCAGCTGGAGTTTATAACTGAGATGTTACAATAATTTAAGTACATTTCCACATGATATTTGTATTCTGTGTCTGCAGCTGATGATTTTGGTCTTAACTTGATTGCCCCCATAAAATACTGAGCAGACACCCAAACTTGAGCAGAATAATTGTTATTTAAATTCAAATAATTGCTTTCCATTATCACTAATTTCTCTAGGATGAAACCTGAGGATGTTTTATAATACTTTGCCCCCAAGATAAACTACATCTATTTAAGGTAAAATATAAAACTTCCAAGTTATGACTCCTCATGCTTTCTTAACACACGGTGGGTAGTTCAGAGGAGTAACTAAAATAAACATCTAATTTCTCCCACTGTTTTGCTACTTAGATCCTGAATCTTTCTTTTGTCTGGTAAGGTAACATATAAAATTAAGTTCTGAAATCAACTGATTTTGCAAGTTGCTATGAAGAAAAATTTCCTTGCTTAAAGAGTTTATGGATCTCATCCATGTTTCACTTTCAACAGCGCACATCTTAGACAAAACTGTGAAACAGATATAACCTAACTTTCAAGACTCTTAGCAACAAACCTCTCCATTCTGTAACAGTTTCTCCTCCTTCCTCAAGAGGACAGGGCATGAATGCTTGGGCAGAGGAGAAAGGTTGTGGAGAGGGAAACATCTGATAAACTCATTTACAAATGAGGCATTCATGAGTCTTTACCCAAAGGAATTACTGGTACTTTTAAGAAAATTCAGTCATTTGCAAAGAAGTCATTTTCAGAAAAATATTTTATGGCATCCCTTTCTTTGAAACATGTAGGTAGCCACATACTCTGCTTTTACATAAAGAAAGCCACCCCTGATTGTGGACTCAATAGTACAGCACTCAAGATTATAAATAACCAGTTCCAGCACCATATGTTGAAATCAAGAAACAGGCTGTATGTATGCTGGTACGAAAACGAATATTCTAATAAATAATAGTGGCAGACCCAGATGGATGTCTTGTTCATTTTAGAAAAGAACAGGGTTTCAGTTTGTTTTCCATGCCTTGAAAGATATGCATGCAATTTTGAATACAAACTCAAATTCTCTAATCCTATTAGTAACACCTAAGTGCATTCTAGAAATTTGAAAATAGACCCTAGTTCTTCACGATAAAAAAAAGAAAGGAAATATCTTATGAGCGTGGATATTGTGAACACAAATAAAGGTTCATATCACCTCTGCAACTTGTTATGAATTCTAAAATCACAGAATTTCCGGGCTCTTATTTCTTACAGATTGGATAACTGATTAGCAATAATTAACGACTGAAAAACTCTCAGGGCTCTTGAAACTGGAATTGAGCCACACTGAATATCATAATTTTAATTTGTTCTCTGTTAACTGTCAAAGAAGCACCACTATAATATGACAATTATTCCCCTACAGAGCTGCTGGAAAAAAATCAATCACAGGACTATAGCTGTGAAACCTGGCAAACGATTCTACTGAGAATGCTGATAACAGGAGTCTATCTGTGCTACAAAGCAACTAGACCCACCCTATTGGCCTAAGGCCTGGAATGATCCTGTTCATTTCCCCAATGAACTTGCCCAGTTGGCAGCAGGTTGTATTGTTGCCATGCCCGGGGGCTAGCTCAATATTATTTTGAAGTGAAGGTTGATGCAAATAGAATGGAGAGAAATTTCTTGGGTTTATAGAGTTTGTTAAGACACTTGAAATAAAACAAAGAAATCCAACGAAATACTTCAAATTGGTTAAAAATAGCTGCAAGGAAACTCATCAACAACAATGTAGGAGGAAACAGTGAATTAAAAGAACTGGACAGAGAAGAACCAAATACTTGAAAGAGACACTGTTAGTACGGATTGTTCTTTAAGCAGAAAACCTACATAAAAGAGTATCAATCCTGTCATTCATTTGCCTTCATTCTCTAGCTTGTTGCTGCCAAAGTTTTTGAGTGTTCCAAAACAGGATACTCATTTTATTTGGAAGCAGCCTGAACATTCCTCTAAAAAAAAAAGGAAGCGTGGCAGAAAAAGGAAACACACTTCACACATTTCTGCTCTAGGGAGACAGAAGAAGAGTGTTTCTGACCTTTTCTTGAACCATGACGATTCTTAAAACTCAGAATGTAATGTACTTTTTGGCATTAAACTCCTGCACTGCTTTGCTCAGCACTGGCGGATTTACAACGTAATAAAGAGAATGTAATCAGTTCAAAATGAATTCATTTTTCAAATCTTGATCCTTTTTGAAATTTAAGTTGATATACACAGACAAGTTTAGCAACAAGTTGGCTTCCCAAGAGTCAGGCAACCATACTGACCTCTTATTTTACTGAAATTTACTCCAGACCAACAGCATTATAAATTGTTAACTTAGCCTAGATGTAAAAGTAAAGGCCGTTATAAACCAGTAAACCCCAAGGCCACACCTGAGGAGCAATGATTCATCATCCTTAGTGACAAACCATTTACACATATTTTTTAAGGGTTTCTAGTGTCTTTGGATCAAATGGATAGAGGAATTCCACATAGAGATATTAGCCTGGAAAAATAAATTAGAAAATGTCTACCCCCAGAAAAAAATATAGGAGCCAAATGCACAGTGATTCAAAAACAAACATTACAAATATGTAGCACCGATTAGACTGTGTTATGCAGAATTTTCCCGGACGGTTACAAAAATAAAGTCCATCCATCTGTCAAAACAACTGCTCCGTGCATGAAAATTAAAACAGAATTGAGGTGTTTTTAACTAACTTCCGATAATTATACCTTCTATAAAAGAATATAATTTACCTCCAATTCCAATTACTTCCTTGCATGTTCTTAAATTATGTATGAAATTTATGGGTGAAATTTTGCCCTAAATAAGAGAAGAGAAAAGAGGAGGGAAGGCTGTGAAGATGAACCTTCTCTATTCAAATATATTCAGTTCCTGATTACATCAAACAACTTGTTCTGGTTCAAATATAAACCAGCCCAAAATGAATGGGTATCATACAACATTTCCTCAGGTCAGTGAACATTGATTAAAAAGAAAAAAAAGTCTCTACTTCATCAGTACCCCATCATAATATTTATGTAGAAATATTTTAATGTATAGTCTAGCAGCTGGGAAAACAAAAAACGCCTTTTCCTTATCATGATAGGTGGATACATTTCTGCATGAAAAACCATTAATAAACTTAATTCCTGAAGTCAATCTGTTGACTTTCTTATTCTTTGGTCAATTTATTGGGCAAACTAGCTGAATACTAGAATCTTTGTGCCAGAGCAGTAATCCGTGAGATTGTTCCTGTCACTCATTTCATCTCCCTGTTTAAGCTGTTCCATACTTATCTAGCAACAAAGTTTTGTCTTTTTCTCCTTTAGCACTGTGCTATTACAGCCGTGATCAGATCATCCATAATCATGTCTTCCTAATACCTCAGCATTCACTAAC